CCCACAAACACAGCAAATCGGGGGGCGTCGGGGACGTGAGGAGTGACTATGAAGGGCAGGGGGATCTTCTGGGGCAATGTCTGCATCAAGCTATAACACACTAAGAACCACCAAATTTTCAGTGAATTAACTGAAATTAACTGCTCTATAAAGCTACAGTCCTCCAATGCGTACAACTGGTCTGTGGTCTTCAAAAATATCAACGTCCTAAAGCCCCTCCTGCAAAGCAGACACCCTTAGACCAAGATTAGACCAAGAGGCATGAAAGCCAAATGCAATAGCAGTCCTCGGGGTGAGAAGTGGGGTTGGACTCGGGGTGCTTAACCGCTGAGCCACGTCCCAGCAGAGAGACAGGCTCTGGCCAAGTTGCTTAAATTGCCGAGGCTGGCTTTGAACTTGCAAGTGGTGACCTTGGAGGAGCTCCAAGGGACTTCCAGGGGATGGAACAACCATTTATATATTTTTTTAGTTGCTGATGGCCTCCGCAATTGCTGGGATTACAGGCATGTGCCGTGGCACCCAGCTCACTTAGATTTTCTGTTTTTTAAAGTTACAAAGGAATTTGAATATAGACTGTATTTTTTAAATTATTCTGATACTAAATGGAAGTTCCTGGGTGGTGCAGCAGCACCATGGCTCTGCAGGAGAAAGCACGGAGGTTCTCCAGGTTACTCCAAATGGCTTAGCCAAAACTAAAGCTTAAAGAGAAAAAGAGAAACAGGTTTGGGGGAAATGAGAAGTGACGAGTCCTGGTGAGAGGAGTTCACAGCGGTTCTTGCTCTGTTCTTTCAACATTTCAGTATTTTTAAATCTTCCCCCCAAATAGAGGCAGCGCTACCTTGAGTGTGGCGTCTTCCTAGGAGCACACAGGACACTCGCCACCCCCAGGACGTGCGCCCTGTCAATCAACCTCCACAGACCTAGCTCTGGGTGGGAGGAAGAAGACTGCAAAGTGTCTGCAAAGTGTCAAGCCACTATGGTCAACATGCTTTCTTGCAAAGAGCAAAAAATACCTCTTTACAAACCAACAAACAAAAAAAGACCAAATGCTCAACAGAGAAATGGCACAGAAGACAAAGGAGGTGCCCAGGAAAAAAAGCAACAAGGGCCTATGAGGGCCAGGCCGTCTCTCCCGGGCACGACAAAACTGAAGTTTAATGACACAGTTCACTGAGGAGGTCTGGAAGGAGTCCCTGTGTGTTTAGAGGACAACTTAAGTCACCTCTCTCCATGCTGAAAATAAAAGTGGGTTGGGACTGCCCTTGAAGGACAGGAGCAGGTAAAACCAACTTGGGACAGTGGTGACCTTGGAGGAGCTCCAAGGGACTTCCAGGGGATGGAACAACCAATTATATATTTTTTTAGTTGTTGATGGGTCTTTATTTTATTCATTTATTTATATGCGATAATTGAACCCAGTGCCTCACAAACGCCAGGCAAGCGCTCTACATAGCACCGAGGCCCAGTCCCAGCCCCTTATATTTTAATTCAAAGTTTAAAAAAATGCACAGAGCCTTTGATTCGACAGTCCCATTTCTACCAGTTTACCAATGACCTTGCCTTTATGCCCGCAGGAGAGCAAGTAGAGACAGACCCTCACTGGGGTCCCTCTGGAGCGTCCCACTAGGGTGGGTTCAATCAAGGCACATCTTCAAAATGACTTGGTATCTACAGTTCTTCAAAGAGAAGAGAGCTAAGCTTTCTGTGCTGACAAGGTCTGGTCTTCAAAGGTTTGTATTAAACAAAACATGGAAAGCAGCATTCACAGCGCCACCAACAAAACTCAGTGACAGGGAGGATGGGTCCCACCTAGCCTCTGACGGCCCCTGGGAAAGCAGGCAGGAGAGGGGGTGAGGGCGGGAGGCACATTTAAAAAATCCTCAATTATTTGAAATTACACTCCATGCAACTACGGCCAAGGAGCCAGGGGAAGAAAGCAGTTTCTCAGGTCGGCACGCAGAATGCTCCCCCCATCAGTCGAGGTAGGCTCTCCGCCTGTGCTCCAGAGATCCAGACAGACTGCACACTGAACCACCTTTGAGCCTTGCCCATGTCCCATCCCGTCCCAGCCCAGCCCAGCCCTGCCCAGGCGTCTACCCATACAGAACCTGTGCTCCTTCCTCCCAACCTGCCAGCAGGACACCTACACCCCCACCACCTTCCCTGGGCTCATTCCTCAGGCTCTTGAACACCTTTCGGGTACCAGGGAGTCTAGTTCATCCCACCCAGGACCTGCAGGACCGGGCTGGCTCTCCATGGTCACCCTGCCCTGCCAACACGAAGCCTGTTCTGCAGCAGAGCCTGGGCTCTTGCTGTCCCTCTGCCGGGGACGCTCTTCCCCTGCCTGCTCCTTCTCATTCAAGGCCAGCCCCATTTCAGTTACTTTCAATTCTGCAGGGGTCCTGAGCTGGCCACTGCCAGGGTGCCAACATGACTCTGCTGGACTGAGGGCAACAGAATCACCTCTTAGGCCGCACACAGCCTCCTCATCTGTGACAGAAACAACAACAGATCCTCTCTCAGGGCAGCGTCAGGCATGCTGAGCCTAAGCAAAGGTCATCCTCAATACCACGACAGCCATTTTACTTCCTCGTGGCTGCCACCCGACAAAAGTCCCCAAGAAGGATTATTTGGTCTGGCTTGTGCTCTGCACAGGTAAATGCTGTGCTTTTCAAAACTGCAGTAAAATACATCTAACTGGAAAATAATATGTCTAACTATAAAATAATATACCAACCTGTAAGATCATACATCTAACTATAAATTCACCATTTTAAGCTTTTTTTTTTTTCTTTTGCTTCTAGGGAAGGAATGCAGGGCTCTCTAACACTGAGCTACAAGCCTAGCCCCCTCTATTTATTTATAGTTGTAGATGGACACAACACTTGTATTTTTATTTATTTTTATGCAGTGCAGAGGCTCAAACCCAGCGCCTCACACATGCCTGACAAGTGCTCCACCACTGAGCCCCAGCCCCAGCCCTCTTTTTATATATTACTTTATTTTGAGAAAGGGTCTCACAGGCCTCCATCCCCTGGCCACGTGGTTCATTTTAACATGTACAATTCAGAGGCACTAAGTATACCCAGTATGTGGCAGAGGCCACCACCATCTATTCCCAACTTTCATCACCAGAGGTGACCCCAGTCCCCTACCCCAGACCCCTGCAATGACTAGTCACCTTTGTCTCTCTGGAGCTTCCTGTTCTGAATGGTTCATATGAATAGTATCAGGGGCTCTGCCTGTCCCTCTGGCTTCTGTGACTGCTTCCGGGGCCCCTCCATCCCTTCCTATGGAAGAGCCACATCCCACTACATGGCCAGGCCACGTTCTGTCCACCCCAACTCAGCAAAGAGATATTTGGGATATTTCCACTTTCTGGTTATTATGAAAAGTGTCACACACACTGGGTTTTGATAACTGTCATTTATTTACTTGGGTGCTGGGGATTGCACCCTGTGTATGGTATTTGCTCTAACATGGGGTTACACCCCCAGCCCTTAATCATTTTTGAAAGAATGAAGGAACATCCATCTACTCAAACTTCCACCTACTGCAGCACACACCACCTCCTACCAGACAAATCCTTTTCATATGCAAATATTCCCTCCCATTGATCTAGCAATTATTCAGTGCCAGGTACTGCGACAACCTAACCTGTCACTTTCAACATTCCAATTTACCTCCTCTGCACAAATGAGAAACAGGTAAAGCAACTGGTCCAAGGTCACAGAGCTGGCAAGAGGCACAGGTTGACATCCAAACCTAGGCCTGTTGAATAGCAAGGCCCGTGATGCCAACGGGGGTGGGTTTATTTCAGACTAGTCCTAGATTAGAATGTGCGGTGTTTCTCTAAACAGCCTCCAACTTCACAACCCACAAGGCAGGTCTGGTTCTAAATGGTATGACCAGGCACCCTGAAAACTACAGCTGCTATTGGACCCAGTTTTGCTTTCATTAAAATTAACAAAACAATCTCTCCTGCACCTGGCCGGTCTGGGCTATACACATGTGCAGAATAAGTCAGGTCAGCTACCTGTTGAGGTGGTGCACACAGGGGGACAGGGAAGGGTCAGGACAGGAGAAGGAGGGAGTGGGGAGGGTAGATGGGCTTCATGCCCACTTTTTTCTGGGTCCAAGTCCCAGCTCTGCCATGCCCATTTCCCATCTGTGAAATGAAAAGAGAACCTCACTCATTGAACTGTTTAAGAATTAAATGAAATGCAGCTCAGTGGTGGAGCATGTGCTTAACAAGGGCCTGGGTTCAATCTCCAGCACCAAAAATAAGGACTTAAATGACTTCCTCTGTGAAAGCATTTGGCAACTGTCAGGCACCAAAGTGCACACCTGTAATTCCAACAGCAACTACAGAGGCTGAGACATAAAGACCAGCCTTACCAACTTAGTAAGACACTGTCTCAAAATACAAAATAAAAAGGGCCAGGGATGTAGCTCAGTGGTTAAGTGTCCCTGAATTGCTGGTACATTAAAACAAAACAAAAAAGGTACTTGGCAACTTTTAAGCATATTTTCAAAGTCTTTAACAGACTTTGTTAGTATGCTCATCATCTCTAATGAAGATAAAACCCTGGTTACCCCAGAAGCTCCAACCACCAGATTCTCAGTCAAAATAAACTAGTTTTATTGATACCCCACAGGCAGAAACTCTTCAATATTCTGGATTTCAAGCTGACCTTAAGAGTCTTCATAAAAGTGTCAGGTGAGACATGGGGTTCCCTGGGGTTATCCTACACAAAAGGCAGACTTCTTTTTGACCTAACACAAATGGCTGCTGTCTTCAAAATGGCTGAGCCACACTCCTGCCCAGGTTTGCACTGGGGTGTTCAGCCACACCTCTTCCTCTCTACTGGACACCTAGAGTTCTCTCCCCCAGATAGCTGGTCCTACAGTAGGGAGTCACTGGGCCACAATCTCTGCAAAAGGCATCCACACACCCAGATGACCAGGAGGGCAGCTGCTGGTCTTCCTCATAAACTAACCTTTAATTTCAAGGAATAAGAATGGTGAGCCTGTTGGGCTTCCACTCCATCTCAAGGACTAACTTTGTTTTCTTTTTTAAGCCATGAAGTTTCTCCAGCAGGGCTACAAAAAAAAATGTTGATTTGCGCCCAGATGAGGAAATGCCAAGAGCTGATATCAGCTTAGGGGCAATTCTGGGCCAGCAACCTCTTAATGAAGGGGTGTCACTGCTCTCCCCATTTAACAGGTAAAGAAACGGAGGCTCAAGGAACTGAAGCCACAGCAGGGCTCCAAGCTACTCGGGAGGATCCCAAGTCCAAGGCTAGCTAGCCTGGGCAACTTAGACCCTATCTAAAAAAGCTGAAGGGCTCGGGATGTATGTAGCTCTGATAGAGCACCCCTTGATTTCATTCCTGGTACAATAAAAAATAAAATAAAAGTGAAGCCACTTAACACCAGCTTGAACCCAAACTTCTCTCTACTCCTGAACTCAGGGGCTGGCCACGAGCAAAGGCATCGTCCACCCGCAGCTATTCCCATCGACTTCTCCTCGCCGGCGAGCTCCGGCCTAGGTGGGGCACTTGTCCCACCCAACCCGAGGGCCGCGCGGGCGCCCCCTTGGCACCCAGGCCCGGGTCAGCTCCAAAGCAAACCCGGGGCCCGAGGAAGGGCCCGCAGCCGGCAGGTGCGGCCGCGCGGGTCCCTCCCTCTGCCCCGG